GATGATGATGATGGCGAATCGCCCCTACTTCCACCGTCGACGTTCTTCCATTGGCGAATGAATCATCACCACAACTGTGTTCGCAGCAGCAGCATATCGCTCGCAAGGGCACTGATTCACTCCGTCAAACCGACTGAACGAGCGATTTTATTATGGATTATTTTTTAAAACAGTCCAGGTTCCACTTCTTTCCCATGGTTTGTCCGTACAATTGTCGTTTCATGATGACTTCTTCTTCGTCTTGTTCTTCTGGGCACGGCAATATTCATCACAAAAAGGCACAAATTCATAAGATCTTTTCTGGGCCCTCTGTCTCTCTATGTGCATTGATTGACGTCCTATGCACACGGCTCGTCGTCGCCGTTCATTTCTATGTTCTTCTGATGGGCATGTGTATATGTTCATGTTATATATACGCATTCGTAATATAATACAGCAGCAGCAGCAGCAGCCGCAGCAGCACAGCATCCAATAGAATACATAGTACAGAATATATTCCTTCTCATATATACACACCCTTCACTAGTGCCTCCTATATGCGTTATTATTCGCTACGTTGTGCTGAGCGTGTACCAGTTCACTTCACCATATAGCGTTCTTGCTTCGGCCAAACACTATGGCCCTATCGGCAGACCACAGAGCCGCCATCGAAAAGAGTGCATTTCTATGCGTGTCTAACCTGCTGAGCTGCTCCTCCAGCTTTCACGTGCACTCTCGGCGAATCTCTAGCCCCTATCCTCCAACATACGACTATGAAATCAACGTTGGCCATTTTCCAAGCTTCTTTCGAACGGTATTTTTGCATTGTTCAAGGTATTTTTCTTGGATTTTCCAATGGGAACGCCGCATATTTTTGGATTGTCCATTCGAATGGACTTGGAATATTTGCTACGATTCGAGTGCCGTTTGATGTGTGAATATCTAAGGGAATATGTGCGATTGCGTCGTGAATATTATTTGAATTTTTATCATTGTGTCGCATTGTCATTTTTTGGTGAATTCATATGTCGAAGATCACAAAAAACGACTCTAAGCTAAAACAACCTCTGAAAACACTCCAGCATGAATCGTCTAATGAGATAATGCACCACGATGAACTTCAGCACTCTCACTGCTAGCGTTCAATTGAGCCTTCGCGAAAGCGATTCTCAGCTAATTTTTGTGGAACAGCTCCGCCTGTGGGGAGCATTTTAGCAACGAATTCATGCGAAAATAGTTGGAATTAGAGAAGTTTTTGTAGTCATATCAAATGAGATTGCACGAGAAAACTCTCATTTCGCACTTGCGCATTCCTTCAAAATTTCTGTCCAGTTCGAATTTCAATCCTCTTGCTAGTGGATCTTTATGAATCTCAGTGCAGCGCACCATATGAACGGATATCAGAGTTGTTCATATAAGCAGAAAACCTTAGTTCGTGTTTCCACACCACGAAATAATTTCTGATTGTTACTGCAGTTCGGTACATGAACGTGGCTATTATTTCCGTAAATTCATATCAGAACCGTGGTCGAATTACAGTCAAAAGATTGCAATTTATGTACAGATATAGCAGGAATCAGGTGAAATAACATTGAAAACTCAATTTAGTCAGTGCGCATCTGAAGGTGTTTGCACTGATGGGAAAAACCGTGCTGGACGTGCGCTGCTCTGGCTGATGAAGTAACAAATTTTAACGTCCTTTTATTCGCTGTGATAGGATGATGGGAGCTTGCAAGAAATTTTGAATGAGCACAACACAAATAGTAACGAATCAAACAAAACACAACAAACGCAACATGAATAATATTGAAATTCCATTTTTTTTACGCGATCCCAGATAAGTTCTCTTCGTTTGCTCTTTGCTGCATTGTTATCGTTAATATATCTTTATATTTATATTATATCATATGTATCCCGTATCACACATATAAATCAAGAAGAAAGGTCCTCCTTCATTGCTCTCTCTACTATTTCCCTTCGATTACTGCCACTCTTCAAGCAAGAACTCATTAAATTCATTTTTGGCTCTATGACTGCTGCTTAGGCTATATGCTTTGTGTATCCTCGCACACACACACATTTCCCAAATACATTTATGCGTTTTATATACTTTGCATCCACATATATTATTTATGAGTGTATATATGCATTGTGTATATTATTGGTGAATGTGGATGGGAAAGAAGACGAACGATGTAAGGGTAATTGCAATGGCACACAGTGTGTATTGTGAGTTGAATTTAATTTTATGTTCTGCTGTATATATAGTTTTAATGTATATGTATATACGTGTATATATGCGACGAATACGCTCTAGTGCGTTGCGTAGCGATATCTATCTTGCGATGCCATCTGTTTGTGTGTCTTACTATGTGAATGCTGAATGAGTTGTCACTCGCTCGATGCGTTCCTGTCGAAAGCATCTTTTTTTGATGTGTTCCCTAGTTACCCTCACTTCGGACGCTCTTGATTGCACACACAGTTTCTGTGCTTACTTTAGCGTTATAGTCATGTAGCTGCTGCTGCTGCTGCTGCAGCAAGAGCAGCAATCACTGAAGAGTTGTTGATGTTAAAGTGAATAACAGCAGCAGCACCAGAAGAGCATGAGAGCAGAAGGCCGTATCTTTTTTTCCGTTCATCCATCATCAATTCATCGATACAACAGCAACGACACAACGACGACGACCAACCGACCGACCGACCGACGTCCTAAACGCACCACTCGGCTCTTTTTCGTTTCTTTTCCTCTTTACTGAGGATCGTGCCGTTTCGCCACCAATTCTATCGAGTCACGCTCGTCTCTGTTCCTCTCCCGTTGTGCTCGGATCATACGCTTGTTTGCTTCTTTAGTGACGTTAGCTGTGCACACACCAACGAACACTGCAGCACCATCGTCTTCACATTTTCTTCTCTTCTTTATCTTCCTTCGCTTACCGTCCGAACAACGTCCATACCACATCGAATAATAACTAAATGCTCACAAATAACTCTTTTAATGCTCCCGCCATTTGCCTGTTTTTCTATGTGAGCGAGCCGCCAAATTTGAATCATTCACACTTCTATGCTGTTTTTTGTTTTTCACGTTTCCTCTGGGTCGACGACTGAGCAGTGCTTATTTGAATTCGTCAAAATTGAGGCCAGGCGTGACTTTGCATAAAGCACCTATGCAAAACCAATAGAACTCATTTGGGTGGATGAATTTTCGCTTTTTCGATCTTATCGTTCAGCAACGTTTCTGCTTCACACGATTGTTTTAATTGTTCGAAACCAGGAAGTTGTTGTTCGTGTGATTCGTTCGGTTGTTTTCGTTATTTGAAGCTGTTCAAGGGTTCCCTCATCAAGGGTTCAATTTTTGATTGCTTAGCGTAAAAACTGAAACTTTTATGATGGCATTTATGAGATTTTCGATAGTTGTTGGCAAATAATAAAATTTGCGTGTTATTTATTGTGTTTTTGGCTCGTAAAGTTATGCGTGTTTTCGTCATGCTGATCGCACAATCGTGTCATCGACTCGTGAAACGTTTTTTACAAGCGATCGATGGCGTCGTGTCATTGTTGTCACTTGAACAATCATCAAAGTAATCATCAAATGCATTTGTGCAGACATAGTGGCTACGAGAATGCGCGAATCAGCAAAACCGCCAGTACGCGGTAAGACGTCACCGTATGGATTCTTTGTGAAGATGTGCTATGAAGAGCATAAGAAAAAGTACCCAAATGAGAACGTTCAAGTGACAGAAATCAGCAAGAAATGCTCTGAGAAGTGGAAGGTGAGTAGTGGCAAAAATGTTTATGCTAGTGGACCGATTCGCCAGCTTTTCTGATAATGACTGCTGATATCATGGGAGCAGCAACTGTATTTTTTCAATTAGAATATACTGGATATTGAAATGGTATCGAGAGTAAGGGAGTGCTTCTTCACCTGGGATGCATTTTTAGACGATGTCGGACGATGAGAAACGACGGTTTTTCGAGTTGGCCCAGAAGGACGCTGAGCGTTATCAGGCAGAAGTAGCTGCTTATGGTGGCGAAGATTTGTTGCGCAAACGTAAACGAGTCAAGAAGGACCCAAATGCACCAAAGAGAGCACTGTTAGATGTTTTCCTGATCGCTGTTGATATGGTCGTCGAGATTCTGTAATACTACTTCAAAGTACTCGTATAAGCCACTAGTGAAAGCAGAATGTTGTGATTTTTAAGTGTCTATCCACAAATGCAGTGTGTGGTGAAGTGGTGTCTTGATTAACAGATTGATCAAATGATATCGATATGAATCACTTCGAAGACATCTCTTATCACAGCGTTGCTTACAGCTCAGCGTTCTTCTTCTTTTCGCACGACAAACGACCAGAAGTGCAGCAGCAACATCCTGACTGGAAAGTGGGACAAGTTGCGCAAGAGCTTGGTCGCTTTTGGAAGGCGTTGAGCGATGAGGATCGTATGATCTATGAGAGAAAGGCATTGGAAGATAAGGAAAGATATGCTGAGGTATGTATGGCAAAATCAATTGGACTTCATCAAAAGATTTTTCGTTCTTGACTTGAATTTGTTGGCAGTTTGACACACTCTGCATAGAATTTTAATCAAATTTCGATTATATAAAGTGGAGATGAAGCCAAAATAAAATTTAATTTAGAAGGAATGTTTGATTGAGGCTGAAATTTGTGGAGTTTTTCAGGAAATGCGAAATTACAAGCAGCCAAAGATAGACATGCGCAATGATGGCCAACAACAGCAACAGCAAGTACAAATGCAAAACAACGGTATGATGGATATGGGCGTAGTTGGCGGTGTGAACGTTGGAGTTCCAGTCGGTGTGTCGGTCGCTGGAATCGTCAAACATCCCGGAGAGCAGTTGGGAGGCACGCTTATGTAATAATACTACTAATAATAATGTCATTTCGTATCTCTCTCTTTCTCTGAATTGATTTCATTGTGTTGTACCTGTTGTATTATTACAAAGTGGGAATGTGCGTAGACGTAATGTTATCATTATTATTATGATTATTACTATTGTATAACATAATTATGTTTACGTATCATTTTCTTGTGACTATTATTGTTATTATAATTATTATATAAAGTTTTTGTGAGATATGATTTATTATGATGGACGAATGTGCGTGCGCAGCTGAGCTGGAATCTCCTCTTGTTTTGGCTATTGGCTGTAGTTTCAAATTGTTGCGGATTTGTTTTTTGTTTTTCGAATGAGTTTTTTTTTTTTTGATAATACAATTGTGTTAAATTAAATCAAGTTTTGAAAACTTTCTTCAATAATTGTTAATTTCATGATTATCATCATCACCATTAAAATCATCAACAATTCTCTCCCATTTTCCTGTTGTAACCCATCAGAGTTTTGTTACTGGTTTGTTTTGTGCTGAGTGAATTAAGTTCCAATTCCGTTTGGTCATCGTTTTTTTTGTATATGCGCGACTTAATTCATTATCATATTCCTGTTGTTCAGTGTCGTTCAGTGAGGCAGTCGTCCGTTTCGAGTGGATATTTTCATTTGTTCGATGGGAATTTTGAGAGTGTGTAGTGCGCTGGTTCGGTTGTTTATGTAATCTTTGTCGTTCACGAAACATCAACAAAATTTTATTGACATCGATAGTCATTTTCTGTTAACAGTTGTGCATTGGAAAAATAGTTGGTGAAGTTGTTCGAAGTGAAACGTGAAACGAGGCATTGTGAGTATGTTCAGGAACTAATTGTCTAAAATGAAATGGGTTTTTTTGTTTGGTGAGATGGTTAGGATTTCGCTAAGAATTTGGAGAGATTTCGTCAAATTGTGGTGTTGTTTCTTTTCGGTTTAAAACTAGCTAAATGATTAGTAGTCTCAATATTTTGTATTATATTAATATGAAATGCAGCCGTTTATGTAATTTAGTCGATTTAATAAGCGCGAAACAAAGTAATTGCTGAAGTAGTTCGTTGTATTTACTATCATTATGATTACTGTTGTTGTTCTTGTTATTGTCATTTGATGTGCTGTTGTGTATCCATTTCATCATGATCTTATTGAGCAGTAAAAGTTCCATCGTCTTATTAAACATCGCCTCAGTTCAAAGACTTCGAAATTTCCAGTTATCTTTGGATTTTTTGATTGATACATTTTCTTTGAATCAATGAGAAAAATTTTGTTGGTACTTGAAGGGTTTTGATCGATTTTCAAAAAATCTTCAACCTCAGATTGTTATATCTGAATTCGTTGAAAACAACTAGGCTGGTAACGCGACGAGTCATTTTTTATTTCACTATATTCAGTCAGTCCTTTCCTAGAAGTTATATTTAGTCATTTAATACGCGCCTTAAGCTGTTTCTCTAAAATATTATCGTCATTATTACTTTATTATAATTAGAGTTACAACCGTCACGGTTGTTGTTGCTTTGAAGGTTGTTTCGTTTGAAATTCGCCGTATCCAATGGTTTCCTGGTTTGAAATTCAAAAGATAATTCAACTCATTGCAATCATCATTACTGTTATTATTATTACTATTATTGCACTGATCACTGTTCGTCGTTTCGGTTAATGTTTCATATTCATGTTGATACGATTTACAGCTGGCTGCAACTTTTTCTTTAGGATGATACTAATCCTATTTGATCATTTGATTGATCCGAAATGAATCACATTATTGTTTATCGTTCATTTTGAATCATCATTGCCGTCATCATATTTTGTTTTTTCGTTTTTCGTTTATTCAGTCTGTTTGGTTTTTCGATCGTTACGTTTTTAATACAAACTTATCAATCAAATTCTTATTGTTGTTGTTGTTGCATGTGTACGTGTGTCTGTGTATGTGTGAGTGTGCAAATTGGCTATTTGATTCATGTGGAGAAACATTTTGATTATTCTTGTTAATTTCTTTATCATTACTATTATGATAGCAATGATATTGTGTTAGTACTGATAATGATCACACTAGCGGCATGGCGATGACGATCTCTGATTTGTACTGATTGCAAGTTATGTGCAGCTTATAAAATTTCTCTGCTTTTTCGTAATAGCAGTCTTGAAGGTAGTGTTTTAGGTTTACGCCTTTAGAAAGATCGTTTGCGTTTGATTTGGGATGATAGTTTTCATCGGATTGAGTTTCCGGATTTGAGATCTCACTTTT